GTCGTAAGTATTTTTCGTTAAGTACATTGGCCGCAAAAAAGGTAAAATGCCAATGCATTGCCAGCGGGGCGATTGAATCATTTTCGCGCGCATTCGCCTTGGCCAGCTGGGTGACTGTGTACACATGCCCATATAACTGTCTAGATACTTACACATATACATACATCCATAAGATAAGGTTTGTTTGTGAAGGAATACGGGATTTTCCTTTGCTTTGTAAAGGAATCAGCATGAAGCTACTATATGCCATGTTTACATGTGTGTGTGTGTGTTAGCGTTAGTGTTTATGAGTTTGTTATTGTGTAGTCTATGCGACAAGCGCACCTTGACATAAATCTTGAAAGACCAGCGAGTCCTTTGTAACGGTCTCTTTTTAATAATACAAGTAAATGGAACGTAGATTATTAAAAATCCATGACAGACAGAGCAGCTGAGCGCTACTGCTTTCAAACATACATACAAACAAAAGTATATTATTTATGTATAAATATATGTAGGCATAAATGGCTGTGTATGTGTATGCATAATGCATAAGTATATATTCCAATATGTAAATATCAATTAAAAAAGGTTCCATGTCCTTAATTGTACTTTGCATGTGTGAACGGATGTTTGAGATTTGTCTACTACCGATATTCGAAAGGTTATGCAAAGGAATAAACATACATTATATGTAATAACAATTTGATAGAAAATCTGCAGTTAAACTGTTTTGAAAGCAGATACATAAATACATGTATGCATGATCTATAAGTATATGCTTTAGTAAATATCTACCAAAACAGAGAAAAAAATGTAATCTGAGACTTAAAAGATGCAAAAATTTAATACCTTACTTGAGGTGTTATATCCACTTGCGAATTTAAAAAAATCGATTAGATTGCAAATATTTCGAATGCACAGATATTTCAGATTACTCTTTGTAAGTTCATTCGGTTAATAGTTTCGGAGATATGATTGTATTTTTAACTTCCTGTAATCGGCTACCACAACTTTAAACAGATTTTTCTCGAAACGTTCTCAGAGTCGGCGTGAAAATTTCTTTCGAAACGGCTGGACCGGCAGATCTTCAATCATTACTTGTAATCTTCTAAAGTAATATAAATTTTTTTTTTGGTTTTTGGATTTGAGATAATTTTATGCCGAAAAATATCCTTCACCGCCAGACACCTTTTTTCGGAGGTACTCTCGGGGATCGGCTACAAAATCAAAGGGATCCCAAAATCTTTCAAAACAAATTTCTGATTATTAAAATTTATTAAAGAAAAAAGCTTTTTTTCTGATTTGCAATTGAATGTAACCCCTTAATGAAACCGCAATTAGTTGATGAATGTAGTTTCTTAATTTAATCATCCGGTTAAGATTTGCTGATAAATCCAAGTGAATTTTCCCCACATATGTACGTAATTGGTTCCGGTTTATTTTTTGGAAGAATTTCTGTAAAACCGAAACGGGTTACTTCGAACGGACTTCCACAGTATATATTAAGTATAAATTATATTATTCCAACAAACGAGCCAAAATATCAGTAAAATATACAGAGAATACAATGGTCACAAATACAAATCAGTTTGATCCTAAACAACGAATTTCTTTCCCAATCGACTTATGGCTCACTCATCGAAGCTGATATTTGACTTGGGTAGACTGGAAAAAGCCACTGTTAATCCTAACTGACGAATAAAGCACTCTGATCTTGAAATCTTGCTTGCTTTTCGTAGGCAAACCTATCAGGTTTGAAGTATGTTACGCATCATAGAAATATACGAGCTTTTTCAACGAAAAAAATCTTTACGGAAAGCGAAAACGGCAGTTTACTAATTTTTTCGAGGAGGTCCAATAGTCCTTAACTGATATAGGTCCAAATGACGACTAGCTAAGTTGGAGACGTGCATATATATCCTCCAAGTCCTATAGTAATGAATGGAGAACAACTAAGCTTGACTTCGAGGTTAGGCTTATAATTTTATGGATGTTAGTAAGTAAATGCCTCGGGAGCAGTTTTTAATATACATCAATGATATATACCTATTATTTGGAGCTTCCTTTAAAGTATAATGGTTTCCGCTTTTATAAAATTCTTTGCACTGGTTATCATTAGTAATAATTCTTTCTAAAAAGTGACATTTTAGTTAAAAATTTTATATGGGCGTTTACCATAAACGTGCTAGATTAAGTTTTTATTGAGACACGCTTGTATTTATGGTTTTGATCCCACTTAACTTGACTCATCTTGATCTCATTAGCAATCGCATCAAGTTACTTAATTATCAAACTTGTTTGGGTGTCTGGTCATAGCGGAATCACTGGAAACTGCAAAGCTGATGACCTCCCAAAAAACTCTTTATCCCAATATCATCAGACTAGAAACGAATCGATGTTCCCTTGGCCTCTTGCATTCTAGCACTGGATCTGTGGACCTCATGTGAGCTCAGTAAGCGGCATCTGTGCGGCAGTCAGATCTTTATGTTCTTCTGCAACGTAACAGGTTCATTGAATTCTTTGTACGATTTTTCTGTCCCAATGATCGGAATTGTAACTGGACACTATCCCATTGGCTCACATGCGATGAGCCTAAAAGCATTGGAGACTCAAATGTCAAAGTTGCACGAAGAAAGGGGAGGTGGAAGCATCTAGACTATGGTTGAAGCAACTCGGTAGTCAAATCTTTTGGAAACCAGGTTGGTCATTCACGGCTTCAGGATAATCAGCCCGATTACCAAATCTAACCAACCTATACCTCTAAAGACGGCCGTTCAAAATTATTGTTATTTACTTTAGATTGACCTCGTCGATTAGTCCATTCATGTGAACGAAGCCAAATGCACCAGATCTGAAGACATATGCTAGGAAGTAGTTTAGGATATCTCTTAGTGGTGGTAAAGAGTTTAGAAAGCTATTGACTTCTTTCCGTTTTTTCGTTGTTCTAAAATCGGTTTCAATTACTTCTAAAAGCGGCTCTTTGAGTGAAAGTGAACATCTCAAAAGATGGATTTACAGAAAATGGGAAGGAGAAACTAGGTTAGATCTGTATTCATAGTTTCTTGTACTTATCAGTGGCAAATGTGATATGAAAAATCCGGTAATCTTACTGAGGTTCTGGCATTGTTTTTAAAAAAGGTGTATATTCACGATCCAAATTACCAATAATAATCGTTAGATACCATTAGACACATTTAGTAAATAATAGTAACATATAAAAAGGTAACGATTTTATTTATTTATTCAACAACAAAATGTGTTCAAATTTTTTTTTTTTAAATACCTACAGATATTTTTTTTATATTACAAGAATAATTAAATTTAAAAAAAAAATCGTGTATTAACAAATATATCCCAGCAAATTAAGGGAGCGAAACGGTGCAACTCAGAAGGTATTTGCATAAGAAAGGAAGAAACGAGCATACGTACATAACAGTTTCGGTTAGAGTTGTGAATTGACCGTTAAGAAACTCATAGAAACTTTAAATTTTCGAATTAACCGGTGATTAAATCGATAGCTTGCAGGGACATAAATTATCGCTTATTGGTAACATCGATAAAGACAGTCATTTTTAATGTCGCAAAAAACTATGTTATAAATCTAAGTGATCTGGCAACTATTAACTATCGATTGTTTTGCACTGTATTTTCTACCGAAATAATTACCACTACCACCGCCTCTGGAGAAATATAAACAATGAAGAATTTCCAATTCGGATTCGTTTTATCGTGTTGCACGAATAATAATTTAAAAAACATCTAGGCGTATGCCCGCTGAAAGTGTATCAAAAACACTAAATTAAGGGCATGAATTACAAGTGTAAAGTGTATATGAAAGTGGCATAAGGAAATTATGGGTAAAGAAGTGTCCGCTACTATAAGAAACGGTAAGTGTTTTAATGGCCAAAACCACGTCATTTTGCTGAGTAGATAACGATATAATCACTTACAAAATGATAAAACTTAATTGCTTTCGTAATACTCAGTTGTAATATAGAATTATGTGAAAGAAAAGAATACGTTAGTTGTGTATACAACAATGCCAAATGGTAATAGGTATATCGATTGATTAAATTTTCAATATTTAGATATACAAGTAGCTATTTGCATATGCATATCTGCAAATACCAATGTTGGTTCGACAATCACGTAAAACGAGATTAACCAGTAAACTCTGTGGGTGCTTGTCTAGAAGTGCAGCTGCCGGTTAGATGCTGACATCGTTTTATGGTTTGTTGCCATTCACAACGCTAATTCTACTACTATATTACATTACCATTACATTGTTGCTTAATAACCGCGACTGTGCTATTGTTTTACATCATCGAAAGCTACTGGCCAAACAAAAGATGTAAAAAGCTCTTTTGCAATACACTATTTTAAGACAATTACTGATTAGCTGCAATTTGGGTGAAGGGCTATTATAAAATTTAATACGAAGTTGGAGCTGTGGGAAATAGCCGATTATTAATGATTGCTGTGCGATCACTCTTTTATTTAAGGAACATTAAAATAAATGAAAGCATTATTAGCTAAGTTTATCATTAATATCTCTAACAATGTGTACTACTTAAGTCTTAATATATAAGACAATGCAAATACAAATATAAGCTTTAGAATAGCCAATACTTTAGAATTTTATTGAATACCTATAAATAATTTTATCTGTTTGATATTTGAATACCTTGAGCAGGGTATATTAAGTTTGTCACAAAGTTTGTAACACCAAGAAATAAACATCGGAGACCCTATAAAATATGTGCATATATAAATGCTCAGCGTGACGAGCTGAGTTGATTTAGACCTGTTCGCTGTCTGTATATACGCTAAATAGTCCCTCATTTCGAGATATCTCGAACTAAAATTTTGCACACATTCTTCTGCGCATTTGTCGGAGCCGCCGATACCGGACCACTATAGCATATAGCTGCCATACAAACAGAACGATCAGAATTCAATTATTGTATGAAAAACTGTTTTATTTGAGAAAGGTATTCTATCTTCGCTTCAACCGAAGTTAACGTTTTTTCTTGTTTAATATGTTCATGTACACTGTCCTAAAACCAAATGATCACTTTATCTGAAAAGATGCTTTAAATACCATAAATACAAGCGGAAGTATTTACTTCTTATCAATTTGTGTATTTTTGTGTTTCTTATCAATAGCATGTTCCGTTATTTTTTGCGGTAATTGCTAAACACTTAACATACTCCATTCAAATTGTTTTGTATGTAAATAAGTTGTTTAGCTACTTACATATATAAATAACTATAAGCACAAATCAGTATAATATTATATTATATAATAGCTGAGTAAAAGGGCATGAGGGCATGCCACGTATATTTTTCTCACTGCTTAAGCTGACTTAAGAATCGGCACACAACAATTCACTTTCGCTGTTACTTGTAGGAGGGTTTGTTGTTCAGGGACGCCCAGTTAACTTGCGCAGATCAGACTAGTTCAGTTGGATTTTAGCATTCTGTAGGCTATTAACTGAGTACCGCAAGCTCAACAATCATCTGGTTTGGGTGTGCGCACACGCTACCGCCACTCTTTGTCTTGAACCAAAAGCAAAACGCCAAATAACAGCAAGCTACAAGAAAAGTGTATGAAGTGAAGGGTAACAAGACAAGGCAAACAAAACAAAAACAAACAAGTAAACAACCAACCAAACAAGCCGCAGATTGTACAAGTAAGCAGCAATTGGCTTGTTGGCGCACATATCGCACCTACAAGCGTTCGCTTAAAGCTCAGTAGCGGTCGGGAGACGTTGCTGTGCAGTTGAGTTCGCGCGCTTCTGCTATACTACAATCGAGTAGCATTGTGTTAAAAAAATATTAATTTGTTTTCGTTTTGTTCAAATAATTCGATTCGTATTTTTGTTTTTATCATTTATTTAGCTTGGTTGTCGACTTTGTGTTTGTTTTTATCTGGTTAGTGGCTTATATTAAGTGGCAAAATTTACGTAAAACATTTAAAAACCTACCTATTTAGTTATATATATTAACTGGCGAGCAAAAACGCAAACAACTTTTAACGCTTGTTTACATTTTTAACAAAAATTTCATAACAGCAACAATGACAGTATACGACGAGCTGTATGAGCGCCTCTCAAAGGTCGGTCAGGAGCATTTGCTAAAATTCTGGGATGAGTTGACACTCGATCAGCAGGAGATATTGGTGCGCGATATAGACGAACTCAACCTGAAAGAATTGAAGTTATATTTTGAACGCGCCACAGCATCACTGCAAGAGGATGGCATTAAGCTGGATGATCGCATGCAACCAGTGCCCGAGGAGAAGCTAGCAAGCATTGAGCGCACGGCCGAAGAGCGTCTCAAGGCTTATGAAGAAGAGGGTATGCGTCAGATCAGCGCGGGACATGTAGCTGTTTTGCTAATGGCTGGTGGACAAGGTAAATTTAATGATTTTTAAATGATAATATATCATAAAACATGTCGTTAAACAATTTTTGGATTGGGTTTATTGTATCTTTATACCCTGAAAAGGTTATAATATTATATTATACTACTAGTCCCTCAGTTTTTGCAATATCGATCTGAAATTTTGCACAGGTCCGTTTCTTCCCATGTATAGAAACTTTGCTATTTGTGAAGGGTATTACATATTGCTTCCGAAAGAAGTTAATGTTTTCTTCTTGTTTTTATTATGAAAGCACAAAAAGTGGAGAGTGTGTAATATATCACAAAACCTTTTAACACACACGCACATAGCTGGAGTTTATTGTATCCTATGTATGTAATGTGTAAAATTATCTTTGGCTAATTTGCGAAATTTTAAATTATAACAAAATCTAACAGAGTAAAAGCTTTTTTCGCCTAATATATAATCAGCCGTGTAAACGATATAACTAAAAAAAAACCAACCGAGTTTAATATTTCTGCGCAACTGTGCTGTCGTGGCTGCTTTGCACGTATGTACGTATTTATGTGCCTTCATTGGACCGTTAGCGCCTCGTTTTCAAAAAGAGTATATGTAGTATACTTTAAGAAATGATAAATAAAATATTAATTAACTTGCCTGTCACGTAACTTCATACAAACGCGAAACGAGAAATGCTCACAAAGAATACGCCTAAAAGTTACCGTAATATACCAACCAGAAACCACTTTGTATATGAACTATTGCATAGCCAAATACGATTGCTTTATGGTCTTTCTTTTTACTCACTTTTTTATTGTTTCAAATCGAGTTTACCTTAAAGTAAGCTTAGTCACTTAAGAAGGCGCTCACAGCCAACAATTTAATGGTTTATTTTGTTGCTTCAATAATAACAAAGCAGTGAGTAATATTATTAGATTGTGCTTCGGTGGCATTCGATGGTTTAAATTCGAATTTTTTTTAACTGCACATACCCGAAGCCACCATTGATTTTCTGTAGCTTACGATTTCGGTGAGACACAAGATAATTAGATTTTGAATATTCTATTATAATCTTCACCTGTTATTAATGAGGGTATTATACGTTTATAATTTATGTAGAAGCGACTCCTTTAGTTAGGTTAGGTTAGGTTCGATGGCTTATCATCAAAATGGGGAAACGCAGTTGGACTTATATATGTAAACCTTTGTGAAGCCATTAAAATAGAACTCCAATACTCGATCTTATAAGTCGACAAAAAGCCTTGAGGCCAATACAAATCTGGGCGTTTAATTGCTATTACCACCAACTCAGTGGAATATATGAAGGTGTGAGCTCTCAAGTGTTTAAGCCTTGATATCGCAAAGGCGGGACAATCAAAAATGCTGTATTGAGAAGTTTCAATCTTGTCTCCTTCCGTGGATGCCGCTAAGACAATGACCTGTTAAAACTCCCACAACTAGGGAGAGGCTAGCTTTACTGAGAGCAAAGAGCTCACTCCTCGACTTTTTAATTGCCGTTTAAAACCGAGTTAGAGCGCCGAAATAGCAGTCCTTGGCCAGATGAAAATCCGTGTCAATTCCGCTAACGTAGAACCAGTTTTTGTGGGTATCGCAAAGCTAGCGGGACCTAGATTCTAGCTTCGTAAGATTGTTACTTCCGATCTATACTATAGTAATGCATTTGTACTACCAGACACAGCTATTATACAACAACATTTATTTTTCGAAACTACACATTTGTTTAGTGCACTAAGAGTAGATGGAGCTGTAGATAACAATGAAGAGATAAAAAAATATCTTTTCAATTATTTTTTGTTAATGAACTGATAAAATAAGACAACGATAAATTTACTTTTATTATACCCTGAACAGGTTTTTAAAGAAGTTTTTAACACGCAGAAGGAAACGTCGGAGACCCTATATACATAAACGATCAGCGTGCCGAGCTTATTCGATTCAGCCAAGTTTATCTGTCTGTATATACACGAACTAGTCTCACAGTTTTTCAGAATAGATCTGAAAACCACTTCGTTTTCTCGCAAAGAAGCTGCACATCTGTCGTAATCGCCAATATCGGATCACTATAGCTTATAGCTGTCATACAAACTAAACGATCAAAAATATGTCTTGTATGGAAAACTTTTTTATTTGACAAGTTATCTTCACGAAATTCGACATGAATTATTGTGCAAGGCAATGTGCTAAAATCTCCGAATATGCAATATTATGCAGATCGGACCACTATAGCATACAGCCGCCATACAAACTGACCGGTCAAAGTAACGTTATACATAAAGTAGCTATAACAAATGCACTTGTAAAGGGTATTAAAGCTTAGGCTCAGCCAAAGTTAACGTTGTTTCTTATTGAATCTTCATACAAGCACCTTCAAGGTCAAGTAGTGAAACTTGTCATTTAAATGATAACACCACAGATAGTACTTTCAAAACATAATTACTTCTAATTTTGAGTTATTTAAAAAAATGTCATAACTAATTTCATGCGGAAACGTCATTATTCCTTTATCTACTATATATACAATACATATTTACACATTACTGTATGTATGTTTGTATGACCATACTCCTATACAATTTAAAAATAACTCAAGGGCCTTGACATATTATATTTATTTAATGCATTCTCATGCTTTTCTACACATATACATATATTTGTGGTTATCTGCACCTTAACATTCATGTTTTACAAACAATATGCAATAAATACTAACAATTTGCAGCTTGTCGTAAAAACATTCATACCTATATGTTTCATACTTACGAGTATGTATCTTCTGATCTTCTATCTACACGTTCGATTAGTCAAAATTTCATGCCAACCAACTTTAAGCCACAGCCCTATGGGTATTTAGGCAAGTTGGTGTGAATTAAGACATAAACATTCACACACGCACATCTTTTGGCATAAACTACCATTAAGTATTTACGTCAACACAAAACAAGAATTGATTTAAACCAAACCAACACGTTTTAAAGGTCAGCCAGCATTGATGACGCCTTTTAGAGTTAAAGAAAAAAACTCAAGATATTAAAATTAAGAAATATGCGAGTGTTTGTATATAAAATATAAGAGAGTCTTTTTAGTTTTTGTACGCATGCTCAAATGAACTAACGGAATTTTTTTCATAACCTTAACAGGATATATTAAGTTTGCCACGAAGTTTGTAACACCCAGAAGAAAACGTTGCAGATCCTATAAAGTATATACATACGAGTATATATACATATATGTTAAATTATCAGCATGGCGAAATGAGCCGATTTAGCTGTCTGTATGTTCGCGAGCTAGGCGCTCAGCTTTTGGGATATTGGTATGAAATTTTGCACATATCCTTTTTTCACTAAGAAGCTGCTCACTTTTCGGAAACGCCGATATCGGACGCCTATAGCATATAGCTGCATATAAACCAATCAAACTCATAAGTTTTTAATTTGACAAGATAGTTATCGTCACGAAATTTGACACATGGTTCAGCTCGGACCACTATCCACTAACTAATCAGTTTGTATGCTTGCACAAAATTAAGTATTTGTGTGGAAAAGTTATTATTTAACATTTGAAGTGATATTTTCACGAAATTTTGCACAGATATTGTTCAGATTAGAGCACTACTATAGCATAAAGCTGGCATACAAACTGATTAATCGAAATCAAGATTCAGATATTTTTATATACATTTTTGCTATAAGATAGACTCTTGGGAAGGGTCTTATAGCTTTGTTGCAGCCAAAATTAACGTTTTTTTTCTGGTTTTTTTTTTACAAATTGGTCGCATTGGTGAAATGAAAAAATCGCAGCAATCAAAGCGGTAACAATATTTTAACTGACAGAGTTATCGGTTTTATTTTACAATAATTATATAATAATAAAACATCTTGTTGACTTAAATTCACCACTCTTTTACACATTACTATTTCACACACTTCTCAAAATTGCAATTTTTAATATTCATAAATATTCCTTTTAAACACTTTTCTATCTCTCTCTAACTCCATCTCGCTATGCAGGCACCCGTTTGGGTTTCGCCCACCCAAAGGGTATGTACGACGTGGGTCTACCATCGAAAAAATCGCTCTTTCGCCTACAAGCCGAACGCATACAGAAACTGGAGGAATTGGCTTATGCCGCCACTGGCAGTCGTGGCAACATCACATGGTACATCATGACATCGGAGCCCACAATACAACCAACAAATGAATACTTCATGGCCAACAACTATTTCGGACTGAAAAGAGAGAATATCATACTCTTCGAACAGGGTTCATTGCCATGTTTCGATTATGATGGTCGCATTATATTGGATCAAAAGAATCGTGTCGCACGCGCACCTGACGGTAATGGTGGATTGTACCGGGCGTTGAAGCAACAAGGCATACTGGATGATATTAAAAAGCGCGGCATTTTATATTTGCATGCGCACAGTGTGGATAATATATTGATTAAGGTGGCCGATCCGGTTTTTATCGGTTATTGTGTACAAGAGAATGCCGACTGTGCAGCCAAGGTGGTGGAGAAATCACATCCCAACGAAGCCATCGGTGTGGTCGCCATAGTCGATGGCAAAAATCAGGTGGTGGAGTATAGCGAAATTTCGGCGAAAACCGCTGAAATGCGCAATTCCGATGGACGTTTAACTTTTAGCGCCGGTAATATATGCAATCATTTCTTTTCGGCAGCTTTCTTGCATCAAATCGGTGACACATATGAGAAAGAGCTGAAACTGCATGTGGCCAAGAAAAAGATACCATTTGTTGATAATTCGGGCAAACGTATTACGCCAGAAAAACCCAACGGTATCAAAATTGAAAAGTTCGTCTTCGACGTATTTGAGTTTGCGCAAAAGTTCGTCGCTATGGAAGTGCCACGTCACAGCGAGTTTAGCGCGCTAAAGAATGCCGACAGCGCGGGCAAAGATTGCCCAACGACGGCACGCGCAGATTTAGCGCGTCTACATAAGCGTTATATTGAAGCAGCTGGTGGCATTGTGCATGGTGAGGAATGTGAGATTTCGCCGTTTGTAAGTTATGCTGGCGAAAACTTGACGCCACTGGTGGCTGGCAAATCATACACAAGTCCCGTTTACTTGCGCAGCAATCGTGATCCCTACCATGGACACCTGTGACTTGATTAAGTTTTAGATATGTGAATATGCTGATAAATATCAATAAGTAGTTGACTGATGTTAACTGTGTATGTACAGTTGTAAATGCAGTTTATGCTAGATTTGTATTTGTATAGTTTTTGTTATGATTAATATAAAAATTTATGTAAAATCTATTTAGAACAAAATTTATTGATTTGTAGACTGTGCGTTGAAATATGGTAGTGTCTACAAATATTATTTTTAAAACTTATTTTACAAACGGAATCAAAAAAGCGTTTATTGGAATTAAAAAGAAAAACATATTTTGCTTAGCAAAAATTCAAAACATATGCTACTTAAACTACTTATCATTTTTAATAAATTAATTATACAGTTAGTAGAATTATTGTATTTAAATTTGCGTCTCTTTTTTAATTTTAGAAAAAAATTATAACTACATATTACAGCAATATTATTGCCAATATTATACATACATATACACACATGTGCGCAAACCATGTTTTTTTTTTATATGACTTTATGCTTTTTCTTGTAGCTCTTGTAAATTTTGTGGTTAAATATTATACATAAGTTAAGTGCAATCTACATACATGCGAGTATATTAATAATCATGTATTACATATTAAATATATACAATGCAATATTATGCAAATAAAAAATATATAATGAAAGCAAAATTTGTTCAGCAAACCCTTTATTGTAATGAAAGTAAGTATCTTTTAAATCTGCAAACAAGCAAAATATGTACTGTCCTTGACATTTCTTCTGAATGTGTGTAGGTGTGTGTGTTTATACGTTAGGTTAAGTGGTCGATCATAAAAGGGATCTCTCTCACTTGGAAAGCTTAGAACGCCGGTCCGTTGTGGTACCTAAAACTCATGAAAAACTGTAAGTCTCCACAAAATTTCAAAATCTCTAGTTTTTAGAATAACTAAGCAGAAAGTGTTTGCAATGTAATTTTCAAAATTTAATAAAAAAAAATAATAGCTCTAACTTGTCCCAATTTATTAAAATAACATTAATTTTAGTTTCATTGAAAGTGTGGATATAATGCTTAAATATAAAATAAAATAAAAATGTGCAATAATCGATAAGTTTATCAGGTGGCAACCTGATTCTATTATCGTTAAAAAAGGTTACTCGTTTACATGGAACACTTCAGCTGGCAGCGCTACACTGCGAATACGAAAATAAAATAGAAACAAAAAAAACGTAGCACCGAAAAGACGTGCATTTGTATAAACGGCTGAAAATAAATTATAAAATTTATTAATTTTTAAAGACTGCAATATTCATACAATGGGCGGTGCACGAGCTCGTGGACGTGGACGCGGTCGAGGACGTGGTAGAGGCAAGAAGAAGGAGGTTTGTAAATTTCATTGCAACATTTTGACATATTATTTTTAACGAATTGCAAATTTTTAGACACTTGACGGCATTGGAACAACTATAGCTGCCAACAGTGCACAAGACGATACCGAAAGTTCTAATCAACTACCCGATGCTGTTGAAGATGTAACAATGCAAGAGAGTGGCAAGGAAAATGAAATTGAATCAACAGTTCAGCCTGCACAAATGGAAACGGAAGATGGGACGGCAACTGCCACAACGGTTGCGGCAGGACCGCCAACCATACCAGTCGTGGCGCTTGAAGAGCCTCTACAGCCGGCAACTGTTTTGCCACAAACAAGTATGTGCTTTTATCATCTACATTAAAATAGATTTTTATTCATTAGTATAATTTTAATCTTTAGTTGATATGGAAGCTGATATCTCACAACTGGAAGCGCCAACATTTACCACTATTTCACGCGGACCACCCGAGCCCATGTTACGCCTTAAATGGGATCATAAAGTGAACTTGATCGGCGAAAAAGTGTTGAATCCCATGATACACTGTTGTGATCAATGTGACAAACCGATTTTATTATACGGTCGCATGATACCGTGTAAGCACGTATTCTGCTTGAAATGTGCACGTTCGGAACCGATAAAAATTTGTCCGCGTTGCAATGATAAGGTGTTGCGCGTTGAACAATCTGGCTTGGGCACAGTTTTTATGTGTACACATGGTGGTAGTCGTTATGGCAATACCGGTTGTAGACGTACATATTTGTCACAACGTGATCTACAAGCGCATATTAATCATAGACATATTACACAGCCAGCGGTAATAGCACAACAACCACAACAAAATATACCTGCTAATACTATAAGTGGAGTCGTCAATGAATTAAAGACATCATCATCAGCTGCTGATGTGAATATGGAGACGGTATTCAAGAGTGTCAGCGGCAATGTACAACGAAAAGTGAGCACAACTAACGTACTTCCTCTACAGTATTACCTAAATTAAATTAAAATATATATATATTCAATTTTTTACACATAAGCTTTCGGAATCGTCTAACAGTACTACTACAATACAAGCGCCATCTGCTTTATTAACACAACGACGTGCCACTACCATAGGCAATATACCACCGCCTGGCTCCGTTAGCTCAACATCCACACAAGGTTCTACACATTCGCATTCCTCCTTAACACAGGCCAATCTAGCGCGCATTAATACGGCAAACGAACAAAATTGTCATCAAGGCAAGGTGGCGCTACATCAGACATTAAAGAAGACGCCAATAACCCAGTCGCATCATCAACCACCCGAAAGTGTAGCCGATGCTTCGTATTATAGTAGCGTGCTAAATTCCTTTGGCAGCAATGATGTGGTCGAACAAAGTGGCGGTGGTAGTGGTAATATAACGTCAACATCACAAACCAACTGTGCAGCAACACAAAACACTTGGCAATCGAATCAGTACTATAGATGAATGGTAGATATTAATAAGAAGCGTCTGGCATTTTTGACTACAAGCATGGCGAGGCAATAATAACGCCACATACATACATATATATGGATAGCTGACGGTGACCAATGATGTTTGTTATTTTTTATAAGAATTAGCGTTAAATACTATCAGATAATCATGTCAGGCCTAAGCAAAAAAACAACGATATTACTTGAATATCAACAAAAAAAAAATGACATTTAAGCAGCAGTTGGCGATTCATGTAATACCGTTCTTCGACTTTGTTTACGAACAAATAACGTTTGACGTGTTAATAGAAACATCCAAATCTCAATAAACTTCTGCAATAAATTTTAAGTGTTCGTTGGCCGAACTTTTAATTTAATATTTGTAATATTATAATGCACCGGTTGTCTTGTTTAAAATATACAATAACAATTATGTTTGTAGTACATATTAAATTGTATGTGTTATGTGTGTTCTTTTAAAATGCTTTTTCATGGAAGCAGCTGTGCGGTATATATATTATATGTGTCTAAACAAACATTTGCATCGTCATTGTGATATACATAGTGTTTGTTTAATTGAATACTCTAACAAGTACCAAAATTGTAATTGAATTGCACATTTAACTAAGCAATTTCTGCTGCTTTTGTTTTAGTACAATTTAGCAATAACTTACTAAAGAAAATCACTTTTTAACTCTCCAATATAAATACGGCTTGTCAATGAGGAACTTCCTTATATTATTATTTTTTTTTACAGCTTTTCATACTGATTAATACACGCGTAAGAGCAAAATATTAATTGTTTTATTTTGCAAATAGGTTATAGGCAATTTTTTTTACATTTTGCAACATACTAAGTTATTATTGAAGAAGTAAAAAAGAAATACATATCACGGATGTTTTCTCTCTTATAACATTAAGATGCTTAACTGTCGCGGGTAAATCGAAAGGCAACCTACATACATACAGCGCTATACGTATGAAGATATATGCATACATATTTATATATGTACATTTTAATGCTCGTTGACAAGTCCGTTATGTGTTATCTCACTTTCGAACGTCTTATTGTAAATACAACTGTTTGATTTCTTTCTTTTTAAATATAAGGTATTGTGATGTTCTCTTTTCAAAACAATATCGCTTTATTTTTCGTTTTTACAAGTAGAACCACTCCATGTTTATTCACATTTACCACCGCTAAGAATGTAACTAAACTTTTTAAGTGTGCATTCAATTTCTGGTGCGTCTTTGTCATACGAGTGTGTACATATACATACATATATATATTATTATCCGTGTAAAACAAAATACCAATTTACTTTGTAACGCCTATATATTTATATATCTACTGCTCAGCGGTACCGCTCAGGTCGATTAGGGCGTCACTCATTGCCGTATTCGTATCAATATTTACATCATTTCTAGGCGGTGGCGCCGGCATTGGTATCGCTATCGTACTCATTGTACTGATCATACGTGGCTCTGCACGCATACTCGTTATAGGTGATGAAATGTTAGCGCTAACATGCTGTGATTTGCCCATAAAAGAGGGATTTAGTAATGCCTCTGGACTAACATGCTCTGGTGCAGTGTGTTGTGTATGGCCATGACCGTGTGGGTGACTATGACTATGCCCATGACCATGACTATGATGACCATGCTGTTGACTGTGATGGTGTTGGTGTTTTTGATGATGATGATGATGATGCCCAGACATAGGCGCTCCACCACTGCTTACTGTTGGAAACGATTTGGGCAATTGATTATGCCGCGCTGCATCTGTAGATTTTAAGCGTTCACTCAATGCCTTGAGGGCAATTTGTCTGTTAACACAAATAAAATATGGTTCCATTTTGAATAAGTCATTTTGTAATTACATACCTTCGCCGTTCTATATCATGTGCATCCGCACCGGGTATTTGTATAGACACTGAAGATAAACTACCAGCTAGGGAAGATGAACGCGGTGGCGCTGGTGTTTTGACAACGCCCAATTTCAAACAACATATATATATGGGATTTACCAAAATACTAATTACAGGCTGCATCACATTTGGAAAGAAACTGGCAAATGTAAAACTTTCTGAACTATCACCACGACCATTTGGATGCCATTGATAGAATCGTAAATAAATCCATGCCACAATAAGACCGGAACCGAACATTGTTGGATATGTGCCATCCAATAGTTTAATTGCCCACGTAAGAATTGACGCTACTAACACAGTTAAGGGCACGTTTCTATAAAAACCAAATGAAAGTAATACTTAACAAAAAATTAAAACGGTATAGTTACCTATTAGTTAATTTGCCCCAACGCGTTTTAAAAATTAAATGATCGGGCATTATTTGTCGTACTGCCACACAGATACCTGCTACGTAGCCGGCCAGTCCATGAATGTGCACGTCGAAAAGTATACTTTCATTATCGGTTACAACAAAATACAACAGATAATATATTGTTGTAAGTATAGATACGCCAAAATTGGTTAGCGCAAAAAACTTAAACATTTCCAATTGTCCCCATAATGGTTCCAACATTTTGCCACATAGCCCCACGGTGACGACATCGACAATCACTTCCCACCAATGTAATTCAATAAAACAAAATGTAAATGCCGTCCATATCCAGAATTCAGCATTTGGAAGTATTTTGCCTGGAGTGACACTCAACAACCGCACAGCGGTCTCAGAGTACGAGAGTAGATATCCAAAGCCAGTGACCACACAGATAAGCGTAATAACAGGCGATGTGTTGTGTAGCAAAGCTGAAAACTGTTGTTGCAGGTATTGCACATTTCGATGGTACGCCGACATTATGGTTTACGGTATGAATACCACTTTTTTTTGCACAAAAATTGAACCTTTTCAAAACATTGATATAAAAATTCTAATAAAATTGTTGCTTCCTAAATAAAAATTGTATGTGATTCCTTAACAAAAGCAAAATAATTAATGAGGTTGCCATATTTGATAATATAATATATGTTTATTGAGTACTCGGTATTAATTGAAATCAATTTTAAAGATTTGAATAAAATATCATATATGCAATTAATTAATTTTTTTGAAATTAAATAAGAAAATTGTTTACTTCAAGCTGCTAATAAAATAATATAGCAGAGATTTAATAATAAAAATTACGATTTCTTTAGCATGTGTATTACCCTGTATACTTTGTACAATATTAGAACCAAAAAAAATAAATTCAAATATATTAAAATTTTATTATTTTTTAGGCAGTACAAATTATTGTGTTATTGCATGTAAAAATAATAGTATTCCTTAATACTGCAATTGCTAGATTTGTTAATAACAAGCGTATGCATAATCAAGGACTATCACATAAAATTTAATGGTAATATTGGATAAAGTTTTGTTTTTATATGCTTAAAGGGTATATTAAGTTTGCCACATAGTTTGTTACACTCCGAAAGAAACGTCGGAGACCAAGTAAAATATTTATATAAATTATGAGCATGAAGAGCTGTATCGACTTAACCATGCGCGTCTGCCTCTCTGTCTATATATACGCGAACTAGTCCCTTAGGGTTTGAGATTTTGATCTGAAATGTTGCACACCTTTTTTTTACAAGAAGCTGCTTATTTGTTAAAACCGCTGATATCGACCCACTATAGCATATAACTGCCATACAAACTGAACGATCAAAATCAAGTTCTTTTATTGATTTTTTTTGCCGAGATAACTGACCCTTTAAAGTTAAGATAAAGATTTTTTATACCCTTTTGTGCACCTGTGAAGGGTATTATGGCGCAACCGAAGTTACATTTTTTACTTCTTTTCAATTTATTAAGTCGAAAGTCTTCCTATCTATTTCTATGCATTGGACAAAGGTTATACATTACATATGTATGCAAATTTCTTGCAGTATTTTTTTTTTGAGCCACTTTTTCATAATCAACTCATAATATCGTGTTATATCATTATTCATATTTCATTAAAACATATTTTTTAGGTTTTACGATTTTTTATTAAATTTTAAAACTTTTGTTTTTCTTCATTTTATTACAACTTAATATTAAATGTCTAGCTTTATTATTATAACTTCATTTCGCTTCTGTATAAATTAACTATTATGTAAATCTTAATATTATTACATATCATTACATTAATTGTTTGCCCTGACTGAATTTATAGCTAGACAACCACTACTTGATAAGCGTTGTGAAAACATTTAAGCTGCTGCAGTAACGCTAATCACATACAATTAACATAATAATTGAAATAATATTAAATTTAACATAAAGAAAGTCTATTATTTGTTTGTATGAAGTTTTATGTTACTGTTCTTGTTGTTACTACCATATCACCGCGTTCACACAGTAATGGATTCGTTGCGATTTCGCAAATTTATGTAAAAAATAACACATTTACAAGTTTTTAAAGAAAAATCTAAAAACGACCATAAAATTGGACGCAATTGATATTAAAAAATCATAATAATAATGACAGAGCCAACTCCTTCGTTTTTATGTGGAAATGTTTGATGTGTGCAATTTGTGAGGCGAGTTATGGACTTGAATGTATGTTGAATTTTGAGAGTTCAACTCTGTCCGTACAGGTGTAAATCTTACATTCAATAATGGAACAAATGTCTGGAAACAAGTAACAGTACATATGTAGCGGTAGTCGTTGGGCTCAAAGCAAACGTTTACTTCGAGTGAGTTACATATCTCATAAATAACATCGTTTAATTAATGTACAAAGCACCAACAACTTAAAACAGTAAAGTGCCCATGCCACCCATTTCAGATTGCTCCTTAACGAAGATCTCGAAGTATTGATAGATGATGGTTACAGCCAGCAGAATACCGGTGCCTGAGCCTATGGCGCCCAAAAAGTCAGCCATGACAGACAGCGCACCAATACAGAGACCACCAAACGCAGCCGCTGTTGGGATGTAACGGTTCAGTTCGTGGATCATGGAGTTTTCACGATGACCACGCATAACCATGTGTTGCTCCTTCAATTGTTTGGCAACCTATTACAAACGAAACAAACAGAAAAAAACATTATATAATTATATAAACATTGGAAATTATATAAACTTACATCCTTGGCTGAGCTACCAGACACATCAATCCATGTTTTCGAGAAGAAGGCACATGATCCCAACATGAAGACAATGTACAGAATAGCGTGTATCGGATCGGTTAAGATGTGTCCTACACTCTCTGGTGGCGATAGATAGTAGCAAAGACCGCCAATTGGGTACGAGCGAGCTGGGCCGCCACCACCAACATCAGCCCATACGCCAAGAAGATTGATGAAGACATTACCCTGGAACTTGACGGCCAACATTTGAGAGATGACATACAAGTTAGAAACTAAAGCCGATTGCAGAATGATTGGAATGTTGGAGGTGTAGAAAAGCTTAATGGGATAACTGCTGTATTGACCACGGTAACGTGCCGATTTCACGGGCAAATCCACACGGAAGCCTTGGAAGTATATGACAACGGCAAATACCAAGATGGTAGCCAATAAATTCATCAAATTTGGCAAATTCTGACGATAGAAAGCTTCGCGCAACGCACGAACTTTATCATTTCGTGTGGCCATCAAGTGGAATAAAGCAATCACGGCGCCTTCGAATTCAGTTCCACGTCCTGTTGTAACTGTTGTTGGTGAGAATGCCTTCCACACAATTGTCTCACAAATATTGGTAGCAATGAAAAGTGAAATACCCGATCCCAGACCGTAACCTTTTTGGAGCAATTCATCAAGCAATAGCACAATCAAACCAGCAGCAAATAGCTGAATGATGATCAACAAACAAACACCAGCGCCAATTTCTGAAGGATCTCCGTACATGCCAGTCATGACGTACACAATAGCCTGGCCAATTGTGATAACCATGCCGAATAATTTTTGTGCACCGTTAAACAACGCACGATCCTTGGGCGTATCACCGACCTCAATGATTTTGGCACCCGCCAGCAGCTGCATAATCAAACCGGACGTCACAATTGGCGATATACCAAGCTCCATAAGCGTACCACGGTTAGAAGCCAAGATCACACGAATCCAGTAGAATGGATCAGCTGAGTCTGAGCTCATAATGCCGAAAAGCGGGATTTGGCAACAAACCAAGAAGATGAATAGTGTTATAGCAGTCCATAGCACCTTCTCCCTGAATTGAATCTATTGGAAAAAAGGTAACAAAAAAAAAAAAATAACGTTAGTTATGTTATTGATCCATTTGGAGTAATAAATTAACATTATACTACATTTAAATCTAAGCAATTTAAGATTAACCTAGTTTTTTAAACTACGTATGCAAACGCGATTTGATAAAGTCGTTTCTCACTCAATCTCCTTCTCTCTCTAACAAAACACATTGACTTTTAAAGATCTTTTTTTTTTACATTTATGTTATTTCTTTACTACGTCGACAACGTGAAATTTGCTGGAGAAATCGTAGCCGACGGGGAACGATGACGTTTATTCGGCATAACCGAACAGCAAACAAATCTGTGGCACACGTAGCGCACAAGCTGTCAAAATCTGACACTTGTGGCAGCGAAATACAACTTCGTTTATACAAAGTCATATGAAGTAGGAATTAAAAGAAAAAATAAGTAATAATTTAATTTGTTCAAACTATGAAATGGGGTCTATTTACTTATTCAAACTGTTATTGGAAACATACATACATATTAGAAAAAATATTAACAATGAAAATTCTTATTTTATACAAAAATAATATAATTGAAAATTCTGGAGCCGTGTGAATATTTGTGCTACAGCTTACAATTTTACTGCACTTTTAAATTGAATTTATACATAATTACTTATATTAAATGCTTGCGTGGCTATTTTAATCAACGACTAATAAGAGCATATCTTAAATTATTAACATAGTTTCGAAATCAGCTTCTGTTTTAATTCAAGATATGCGATTTTAAAAATGTCTAGTAATATAGCTAAGATAGTTGCTTTTATTTTATTTATAAATTACCTTTCGCTCCGGCTTGGCGATTTCCGGGAGTATGCTGCAGAATGGTTTAATAACTTCGAGGAATTTTACTGTAAATCAGAGAAAATCCAAATTTGTAGGAAATCATTTTTTTAAATTTATTTACTCAGATTGCGTTTAATAATATAGCAATATGTCTATATTAACACAATGAGCCATTATTAAGTCTATTTTACGAAGGCATTTCGCAAACACCCGAATTTGTATACGTAAGCAAATGTATAAAGATATTTATTCCTTTCACTCTACCGCTAGTACGATGAAAGCTATAGAGAAGCGAAAGCACCGCACCTTCCACCACCTTCACAATTACTTTGTATGAAAGCACTTAATAATTTTAATATTGTAATTTTTTAACCGAAACACTTTTATAATTAGTTTATTTGACGCGTATTTACTTACTTCCCATTGTGGCGGATTATTTCCGTGTGTAGCTAATAATAAAATGAATGCAGTTCTTTCCGAAATTGCACAGAACTTAAACTTTCCAATTCAAACACCAATAAGCGTAAACACACGTCCAACGCAATCAAATTTCTCAAATGAATGAACGAACGAACTACAAATGAACAAGAAACGAAATCTACTGCTATGTGCTGTCGATTTTTACGAGCGGTAATACAGTGTTGCAATAAATAAGTACGTAGCAAAAGAACAGCAAAAGTTATAGGAAAACTTGCGTAAACGGATTAGAATTCATAAAATATAGCTAAAACTATATACCTTACTATAGTAACAAGGAATCTTAAATACTCGAAAAATAATTATTACAAAAAAATGTGTGTATTAAAAAATTTACTCAATTTTAAAAACATAAAATTAAAACTTTTATAATTACATAAAAACGCACTAAAATTACTTTTGCAACCCGCCCGTCTGAGCTGTCAAATCATTCGTGTCAAACGCGAATGTAGCTGCTCTGCTCATACCTTCGTCATATATAAGGCCTGTCGTATGGCGATTGTCAAATGTTACACGTCTGACAAGTACTGCTCACGTGACCAATATTTAGTGCGCCCAATAGACATTCAACAAAATGTCAATACACACTGGGGAAAACACTTCTAATAAGAATTTGTAGAAAAGTCAGTTGGGAATATTTACAGTGAAGCTGTTGATATTGTAACCTCAGTGGACCCTAAGCATAAGCAGTTATAACTGCTTTTGTATTAAGTTTAAAAAAATTAATTAAAAATTATGGGGTGAAAATAATATAAATATTGTATATTACATGTGCAAATCAGTAATAAAAATATTATTTACCATTGTAATAAAAATAATATCATCTCTTTTCTTATATTATGTACTGCAATGAGCCAAAGTAAATTAATATTTTTGTATTTAGCTTATAGTTTGTTAATCTATATTTTATAAACCATTTTCATATAAATCAATAATTTTTAAAATTACTTTTGCATATATTAATAATATTTTTTTTTATATATTACCATTATTATTATACATATTATTATTTTTTATTTTATTAAATTTAATATATAATTTCTTTTTTATTTTTACATACATTATAGGTTATTTTATTATACTTTTTAACAAATTAATAATTTAAGTCAAATTTTCTATGCTCTCAATTCAACTCCAAAACCGATAATTCAAATTGTACGTAATCGTGGAGCTCTATTCATTTCTCTCATCACTAATAAAGTGCAATATTTTCTGATAAGAACAGCTGCATTTCCTGCTGTTCAAAATCCAAATCGATTTAAAGTAAAAACTAAATCTATACGAACGTGTACGCATTAAAGGTGGCACATTCAACAAAACCGTTATAAATAATGAGTATCGATGACGTGATTTACGTTCTTTGCCTACTCGGTTGCATTGGTGCGGGGCATTACGTCAAGAGGATAGGCGATGAAACACAACGAAAATTTATTAGCACCGGTCTCGGTTTGCTGGTGGTGTTTATTGCATCGGGTTACCATGCACTACATTGTATTATATCGACAACTATTGGATCGTTAGTTATTATCCATATGCACCCAAGGTACTGGTACCCTTTGAACTTACCTACTGCTTAAATTTAATATTTTATGAATTGACCAATTTTTTCTTATACATTTAGCCGTTGCCATTTGATTACGTTTTGCTTAATGTTCGGCTATTTGGTATTCTTCCGCTTAGTGCACGTATTTGGTTTGCCAAATTATCCTGGACACACCAATATGATACAGATGATATTAACATTAAAGGTAATATACATATGTGCGTGTATTTATGTATGCGCTTACTATATGCTAATATTTCTAAATTAGGTTTCGGGAGTTGCTTTTGAGAAAACGGCTGCTTGGAAAAAGTTACGACAACGTGATAAGGAAATTGCCGAAAGGAAGGGCGGTGAAGTTATAACTGCCACTGAGCCACTTGTGGAAGTAACAGATTATGATGTGGAGTTGCAGGATATAGGATTTGCTGAGATCTTCCACTATTGTTTCAATTACATAGGTGTATTGACAGGTATGAGAACTCTGCCGCATTGGAGTGTTTTCTATATATGTAATTCTTAGGTCCATATTACCGCTATCGCACATACCTCGATTACTTCGAGATGCCATTTAAAGATTATGCGCCGCATATAACCGCAACAATAGAAAAACTCAAATATGCCGGTCTCTATTGTTCACTGTATCTTGTAGCCAACTACCTTTGGCCACTTGAGGTAAGTAATTGCGCATTTAATTAAACACTTACTTATGCAAATCTTTAATTCGTATTTTTAGTATGCTTTAAGTGAAGAATTTTATCAAGAGCGTTCATTTATATATCGACTTATGTATGTGTGGCCGACATTTTTCACGTTCCGTATGCGTATTTACACTGGCTTAACATTGAGCGAATGTGTCTGCACTATGGCTGGTTTTGGCGCTTACCCCGATGAGGCGGATGCCACCAGTGGCGAGGGACCACGAAAGCAGTACGCACATTTGCGACGTGATGCCGATAAACGTACTTACAATTTCACTACTATTGTAAATACGCGTGTGCGCAGCGTAGAGACTTGTTGGACCTTCCGTGAGGGCATGAAACACTGGAATATTTGCATACAGTATTGGTTGGCGGTGAATGTTTACAAGTTATTCCCAAGCAAGCAGTACAGGTGCGTTGTTTCTGTAGTTCGAACAAAAATATAATTTTTATGTCCTGATATTTTTTAAAAAGTCATTTTTAGCTTATAGAAATTTATTATCTGCCTGTCTGTCTGTATATACAAGTCTCTCAATTTAGATATATCAAGCCGAATTTTTCCATGCAGTCTTTTCTCTGAAAGAAACTGCTCATTTGTCGCAATCGTTTATATTGGGCCACTATAGTACATTGCTGTCATACACACTGAACGTTCAAAATTAAGTTCCTTTATAGAAAACTTTTTTATTTGATAAGATATCTTCACGAAATTTTACATGGACTCTTTTTCCAAGACAACGGTACAATCTTCCAACAAATTGTTCAGATCGGACCGCTGTAGCAAATAGCTGTCGTATAAACTGACCGATAAAAATCAAGTTCTTCTATGGAAAAGTTTTTTAATTGGCAAGATATTTTCACGAAATTGGGTAATAATTATTTCCTAAGGCAATGGTGTAATATCCGAAAAAATTTTCAGATTGGAGCACTATAGCATATAGCTGCTATACAAACTAAACGTTCAAAATTAAGTTCTTATATGGAACACTTTTTTATTTGATAAAATATCTCCACAAAATTTAGTTTAGTTTATTGTCCAAGACAACGGTACAATCTTCAAACAAATTGTTCAGATCGCACCATGCATAGCAAATAGCTGCCATACAAACTAACCGATTAAAATCAAGTTCTTGTATAGAAACTTTTTTTTATCTGTGTAGGGTATTGTTTCGCTGCCACCGAAGTTAACGTTTTTTCTTGCTTATAACTGTGTTAAGTTATATTTATTTAAAATACAACTATTTTTTTTAGAACTATCGTAACATTGCTTTGCTCTGCCTTCTGGCATGGCTTCCGTCCTGGACACTATTTCTGCATCATGGGTGCGCCGTTTTACGTTTCATTGGAAGATATGTGGAATAAATTGGTGCGCAAGGATGCTACCGGTCTACAACGTCAAATTATCGATGTTCTTTTTTGGATAGCGAAGTTCTTTGCTTTCAGCTATCTCGGCATCTCATTTCTACTAGCTTCATTCTCTAATATCTGGAAGTACTATAGCTCAGTGTATCATATTGGTTATGTGGAATGGTGTGTCTTTATAGTATTGGGTAAATATTTGTTAAATTTGAAAAAGTCAGCTGAAAAGCGACAGCAAAAACAAATGGATGTTGCTGAAAGCGAAAAGGAGCAAATGAAAAAAGTGGCTTAAATCCAGTAAACAGGCCTTAGCAACGTAGAATTAAAGTATATATTTATATATATGAGCTATATTAGTTACTATATATGTATGTGTGCACACAAATATAGCTTTATTATGTACAGGTCAATGTGAAATAGTGTATTATCGTATTGTGCGGATATTAACTACTATGCCAACATTTCCAGTAGTTTAGTTTTTACTTGTAACTTTTATAAGTATCTAAGCACAAATAACTACCTAAAAAATATTATATTAAATAATAATATTATTCATGACGGGGTTGCGAATATTTTTATTCAAAAACTTTGCATTGAAATATAAATAAGACAAAAAAAGTTGAACCAGTTGAAATTATTTTAAAAATAAGCTTTCATTTTAAAATATAATTCAAATGTTGGAACACAACGTATGTAATCGCGAAAAATATTAATTCCAAAAAATTTTATTTTTAATTATAAACTTTTATTATATAATATAATATTTTTTAATTTTTCGATCCAGTATTTGTGATTAAATAAAAAATAAATTTTAAATTAAAAATACATCTTTTATCCGGCTTTTAAGATAATTTTTGTTTTTATCTTTTAATCCGCTATATGGTATTAATTTTTGTTTTTGGATTAAAAATTTATTTGGGATTAGAACATCAAAAATTATTTTTAATTAAGATTTTGAGGATTACAAAATAAAAATATTTAATTTATTTATTTTTTGAATGCATTATTTGCAACCCTGGTTCATGATTATACAACCATACATTCGTAACTATTTCAAACTCAACTGTAATATATAGAATGTTAACCCGTTGTAAGCTTTTTTTTGGAGACTATTAGAACAATTTTTTACAGGTTATGAATTTAGTATTATTAGTTGCAGAGTTAATTTTTTTGTACAAATCTGCTTTTATTTTTTACAAATTTGTTATTATTATTTTTTTTTTAATTTTTAGTTTTTGTAAATTTGTTATTCTTTTATGCAATTTTGATATTTTTTTTACAAATTTGTAATTTTTAGTGTTTTTTTAAATTTTTATTTTTACTTTTTTTTAATATTTAGCTTTTGTAAATTTGTTATTTTTATTTTTTAAAATTTAAAATTTTTTTTACAAATTTGTTACTCTACTTTTTTTTAAATTTTTTAGTTTTTGTAAATTTGTTAATATTTTATGCTATTTTGTTAATTTTTTTTTACAAATTTGTAATTTTTAGTGTGTTTTTTACAAATTTGTTGCTTTTACTTTTTTTTTAAATTTTTAGTTTTTGTAAATTTGTTATTCTTTTATGCAATTTTGTTTTTTTTTTACCAATTTGTAATTTTTAGTGTTTTTTTACAAATTTGTTATTAAATTTTTATTTTTTAAATTTGCAATATTTTTTTGTTAATTTTTATTTTTACTTGTTTTTAATATTTAGCTTTTGTAAATTTGTTATTTTTATTTTTTAAAATTTAAAATTTTTTTTACAAATTTGTTACT